AATGAAGTAGAGTTATCATTCATTGATTTGATATAATGGAATTTCGATTATTGTTATTTATGTGCTGTTGTATATTTGACTTGAAAATTTTGAAAATTGCCTGAAACGTCTTTGAGAAAATTAAAATGAATTTAAGCATGGAGTAGATGTGTAAGGGTGAAATAAAGCAATTTTCCTCGATATTATAAATATTATTATTTATATATGCCCTTGAAAATTTAGAAGATTTAATACAAATAAATTAAATAAAACAAAAAAAATCATACGTCATAATATTGAGATGGCAGAGATATTGCAGATCTTTGCCAAGTACAGCTGTTACAACAGGTTCCATGGAGAATTGTGAAATTCCATTACAAAAGGAAGGAAATGACTTCAGCTCTTTTAAATATCAATGAAGTAAAAAGACCAAAAGAAGTTACACCTCTTAGCATTATTATGATTGCAGTTCTGTTTATATATGTATCTATATATATATATATCTATATCTATATATATATATATATATATATATATATATATATATATATATATATATATATATATATATACATAAATGCAATCATGCTAACATTATATTTAAATAAAGGGTGCCTCGTAAAGCCCACCTTACACGGTCAATATTATTGAGTCAATATCGAAATATTGACCGTCTGAGAGATATATTGTAACGATTATATTGACGTTTGTACTATGCATACAACGTTCAAGAATATTACTTCAATATTATTGATTCAAAATATTGACCCTGTAAGGCGGGTTTAAATAGAGGGAAATATTGAAAGGGATGATAGCTGACTTTGAGGGCTACAAAAATATTTATATAAAAAACGGTCCAATTTTCAGCATAAAGTAGGAAATTTACGTTTAGTGTTTTTTTTTAGAAAGTCACGTTTTTTTGTTGAATAGGAAGCGATAAATAAAAAAATATTTAATTTAAGTAATTACCAATGGTTCATAAGCAAACTATACGAAAGAAAGTAGAATTTGTCATTGTTAAAACCATTTAAAGAGCCATAAGCTACTTAACTAAGCTAAGTTTTATTTTAAAAAAAATCATGAATTATTAGCGACTTTTTTTTTATCACCCTCCAACTATAGTACTCCATTTTTAGAAAAACGTCATTGTTTAAAATGCTTTAAATTTAGGGTTTATTACGAAATAATTTGAGATTAATATTTAGTTGTTTAACAAAATTTATGTGATTTGATATCTCGTCTTCTAAAAGTACCTCTGTTTTCAGATAAAATTACTACAATAAATTATGGCAAAGTTTTAATTTTTTTTTTGTTTTTTGATTACTTGGAATGTATTATAATAAATATAAATGCCTAAATAAACTTTTTATTTATAGAAATAATAAATTTTAGAATATTCGATTTTTGCTCCACAGTAAACTAGACATTCACTAAAAAGAAAAGTGATTTTTTTCATTATTAAAACCTCTTGAATAGTTAAACTAAGCTCTAGTTTCAAAAAATAGTAGATTATTTGCGTTTTTTTTTAATTATTATTATTATTCACCAACTTAACTACAAATAACTTTTAGAAAATCTTTTTTTTTAATAAACTTTAAGTTAATTTTCATTAAGTTGAGTTTTGCTACGAAATAAGTTGAGATTCATCTCAAGTGAAAGTTGAAGTCGTCGAAAAAAAAAAGTATAGTCGAAAAGGCGGGAAAAGGTATCAGATAAAGCCAAATAAATAATCAATTATAATATGCTCTTTTTTCTTTAATTTTAACGCTACCGTTTGTTTCAGCTACCATATTTAAGCATATGTGCAAATAAAAATATGAACGTGTTATCCCTAAACAATTACTACTTCTATAATTAAAATCAAAAAATTTAAAAAAAAAAAAGCTACTGAGACTCATGGTTCAACTTCAAATCATTTGAAATAATATTCTACAAAAAAAAAGAAAAAAAAATGAGATTAGTAAATATAAAAGTTGTAGTTAATATAGTCTCACTTTACTTTTTACTTTCACTTACTTATGTATAAAATATATAGTAAGATAAAATATTGTGATCTTAAACATTTTTGAATCCGAGTTTTCAATGGAAATACACGTTTTGAGGTCCCCTGATTCCAAATAACCAAGTCTTGCAAAATGGTGTGTGTGTGTGTGTGTAAACAGTCAAGCTCAAAAACTAAAAGTCCTACTAAACTGAAATTGCATATTTAAATTTCGTATATGGTTGGGATGTTACAACAACTTCGTCGTCAAAAACTACTAACTGAAAGTGCCTCTTTATATCACTGATTTTATACATTTTTAAAATTTTGGGGTTGGAAAATTATGATAATAAATTGTTTTAAATGAATTTATAGCGTTGTTTTAACTTTGACTATGTCCCTATGTATGAAAATACATAGCTACGTTTGGAACGAGAAAGTTGTGTGATATGCGCACCGCACCAGATTTTATATAATTAAATTGTGAGTGCTTTAATTTTTTAATATAGGTTTGTTTGAAAAAATGTTTCAAAACCATTATCTCATGAGTGTATTATCTAACAATGAAGTGTACTCAATAATAATATATCATTGGGCTATGGACCAAATACTGAATCTTTGTGAATGAAAAAAGGGAATATTAATAATAGATCACTTTGCCCATTTTTCATTAGCAAATAATTCCATGTTTCCTAAAAATATACTTATCAAATTATGCACTTTAACCTTTAGTTGTAATAGAATAGTAATATATATATATATATATATATATATATATATATATATATATATATATATATATATATATATATATATATTCTATTGTATTTTGCACACGCGTTAGCCTGCTCGATCCCTCCCCTCCAAATTTGGCTTAGATCAATCAAACAAACAAATAAGGACTCCAATTTTTCTGGTGGGGGAAGGTTTTCAGTCCCAAAACCATCCCCCTTGAACACGCCACTGGTCGATCTCATGTTAAACCGCGAAACTGCCTGTGAAACTAAGTCATGTGATGCACACATCGTAACATATTCTTCTTCTATTTCTTCAAATAACTTTTAGTTTTTTTAATCTCAGAATGAGAGATTGTTTTACAAACTATAATAATTAAATTAATGTCTTTATATTTGTTCGCTGTAGGCCTATGATGAAGACAAATTAAAATTTAAAAAATCACTTGAAATTTCGAATTTACTAATCTAGTTAATTTTACTATCTATCTGACTTAAGTTATATTTGAATTTTATATATTTCATTATAAGGAATTGTTTAAACTAATCCCATTAGTGACTTTAACACCTTCATTTTTGGTATATTTCAATTCTTAATAATGATAAATTACAGTTTCGACTACACTTTCTTTTTTTTTTTAACTTAAAAATCTTTTTAACTAAAAAAAAATTACGAACTATCTTTTCAATTAAAAATTTTTCGGCTACACGCTTAAAATTAAATCAAGTTTTATTCCACCTGTAAATTGTTCAAATGTTAACCAAAAATTATTCTGTATATTTAAAACGCCAAAATTTTAGGTATTTAATCATATTTAATACCAAATACTGTATGATATTTGTTTAATCTTTTAATTTTAAGATGTAATTTTATTTAAATATTAAGTTTATATCAAACTTCACATTGAGATTTTTCCACAGGAGAGACGAAATTAGCTTTATTATATGTTTAAATAAAGTTATTTTATTTATTTATTTTAGGCAAACTCTGGAAGAAATGCAAATGAAATATGCATCAACATTTCTCTGTATTAATATCTTTTATTTCTATAAAAACATATCTAATATGATTTTATTATTATTAGTAATATTTTTTAAAAACTTATCATTTCATTTTTTTTAATTATTTTTAATAATTTACTTTAGTAGAAAATATAGTTGTGATGTTCTTTATTATTACTATATTTTTTTTTTTTTATCATTAGTATATTTTATTTATATTTTTGTATTGATATTATTATTTTTTTTAAATTTTATCATTACTATTTTTGTAATTTTTCTTATAATTTATTCAAGAAGTAAAGCAGACTTTTAATGTGCTTTATATCTTGGTATTATAATGATATAATTAATTAACTTTCTTTTTATGAGAAATAACCTTAACATTTATTCCAGAACAAAAGCCGATTGTGTTTTATTTGTTATTATTAATTTATTTATTTTTTAACATATTGTTATTATTATTAATTAAAAATATATGTGTTATTCTATTTTTTTTAACTGACCCTAATAATTAATTTTAAAGTTAAGCCGACTTAAATGTGCTTTATATTTTTTTAATATATATATTTATTTTATCAACTTTTTGTTATTATATATTAATGTAACATTTATTGCAGAAGATAATAGATTTTTATTATTATAATTGGTAAATGGTTGACTGTCGTGGATAATGAAGAGAAGAATAGTTGGGGTGGTCAGTCAAAAAAGAAGGCAAAAATAAATGATAATATTTATTTTTACATATGCCGACGTTTCGACCTGAAGTTCAGGCATTCATCAGGACTGTCTCCAAAAATGTTCTAGGGAGAATGTTATTATTATAGGTTTATTTTATTTTTTAATTATTATTATTTTTTATTAATTTCATTGTTTATTTTTTTTTTTATTAAGCTTAATATTTACTCTAGAAGAAAGTAGACGTAATTTGCCATATTGTTTCGTATTATTTCAATGTATTCAATTAACGTTTTTTTGTTACTAAAAAAAAAATTAGCTTTATTATTATTATTTTTTTTTGAAAATTAATGCACTTTATATTTCTTTTTATTTATCGACAACCTTTAACAAATATTCCAATCTTGGCTTCCTCCATGTTATTACGATAGTAAATGTAATTATTAGTTTTTCAGATAAATAATTTATAAAAATAATTTTTTTTTTAAATCAATTTGTTTTGTCTAAGATTTTTAATGAATTTAACTCACTTAATTACAAGAGAAAATATTACATAAATATAGGATAATTTTGTTGATTCGTTGTCAAAACACTGAGCAAATTATACTGGAATGAACAGCGGGACTAACCTGCAGGTCCCATTGGTGATAGCACATTGGTCCCATGGAGATAAGAACAGCTGACTGGAGACACCTGTTGCTTCAGGAACTCAACACCGAGTGAAGATGGCTCCGCCCAGCTCAGGTGGTTTTGTCGCCGGAGATATCCCCCACTACCACGGCGACGGTTACAACTCGTGTCACCTCCGTGTGATCCTGAGGTCTGTGGCAGTCCGGGGGAATCCACCGCGAAGAGGGACGTCATCCTGGATATCGTGTCCCAGATATCGGCGAACAGATAGGCAGCGGCAATATGGCAACGCGAAGAGGAGCGGGAAAAAAGTTGATCGCGAATTGTGACTAGTTCAGATTTATCTAAAAATAGAAGCGAAGATAAAGACTAGTTCTTCAAGGCTAAGAGATTCCAACGCCAACCTTTAAGTCTCTCGAATATCAGTAAATATTTAATCAAATAAATTTCGAAGTCGTTATCAGTACTATAAAACGTAAAATCATATAAATGAAGAAGTAATATGGCAGAAATTCTATTTCTGTATCTAAAGGGTACAGACCCCTTTTTATCAAATTATTAACATCCGCCTAAATCTTCCATGAACGGCTCCGTCTTTTCAGTCCCTCCAGAAATGACGTAGGTGAAACCACTATAGACCATGACAATTTAATGTTCACTGAACATATTATTCGCGACATTAATGATGAATATATAACGGAGGACTCATCAAGACTTGAAAATGACCCTTAGTATGGTCGAAACGTCGAATTAAATAACGTATCAATAAAATGGTGATAATTGGCCTAATTTATACAAACATAAAACCTCAGGACACCAAAATTAGGAAAAATGAACAGAAGAAATTCTATTTCTGTATCTAAAGGGTACAGACCCCTTTTTATCAAATTATTAACATCTTTCTAAATCTTCCATGAATGGCTTCATCTTTTCATAACCTATAACTTTTTTATTTGAATATAAAAAAATAAATAAAATAATGAATAGCAACGTAAGATTTATAATTGGAGTGCCGAGATCACTCCATGTCTCTCACTCGCCCGGATCTACAGGTATAGGGGCTTTCGGGCTGAAGCTCCTACCTAAAATTATAAAATATAACCATGTTTTATACAAAAAAATATTAAAGATTATCTCTTAAAGTATTATTGTTCGTGTAATTACATTTAAAAGGAATCATTTGAACACCATTTCATATAGATAGTTTCTTTATTTTTTCCCAAAGTAAATATCGTTATTTTTATGGAAAAAAAGCTTTCGAGCTGAAGCTCTTTCCCCCAAAAATTATATCCTGGATCCACTGTCTCTCACCAATACACTGACTTAAAGTGGCTCTTTCCCTCCTTTCGAGACAATATTTCCAAGATACGTTCCTCTATCAAATCATCATCCTTATGCCTACAGACTTCTTCAATTCAAGACTTCAATCCATTCCCTTTCCACAAAATCTCGACCTTCTGACCTTTACATCTCTTCTCACAGATCTGCCTCATTCTAAAACTCGCTCTGTTAATTTCTGAAATTCCTTCCCAATCAAAATTCGGCATCCGATCTCCATATCTACATTCAAAACTCTCCTACCCCCATTCCTGTCCTAAAACAGTCAAGTACTTGATAACACATTGGCATTATACATTTATTTCTTTTTTCATATGTTCTAAGGGAGATGCTTTTTATCTGAGGTATGTAAATAAAAATTAACCTTTACTCTCCCAACAATTTTTTTATTTATTTTATGACGTTTCGGGACGCTCTACTATCCCATCTTCAGACAATATCTTATCCTTTTATCATTTTATTTTTAAGATCTAACATAATTTTTTATTATATTTTCATAATTAATCCCTTAATTATGTTTTATTAATAAAAAAATTATGACAAATATCTTTAATTAAAAAAAATAAGATAGAAAGATAAGATATTGTCTGAAGATGGGATAGTAAAGTGTCACGAAACGTCATAAAATAAAGAAAAAAATTGTTGGGAGAGTAAAGCTGTCACTTAATTTTTATTTATATACCTCATTTATTTCATGTCATTCATCATCAAAGGTTAGTACTATTCTCTGCTGGAGACATGACAAGATTTTCCTAGTCTTAATAAATGCTGCTACTAGTGTTGCCCAAAATCGGTCTTGGTCTTGCACTTTGCGAGACCAAGACCAAGCCCGCTTAACTGTTGCAAGACCAAGACCAGGACTGGTAAAAAAAAAATCGATTTTTTTAATAAAAATTAATTCAAAATAGTTCTTAATACTTGACAATTTTATTTCCTATATGTTAATAATTGATATAACTTATATACTTGTGCATTCAACTCCTCCAATTTTTCATTCGGGCTTAGTTAGGTTTCTCCTATCTAAAAAGTTACAGTAATATCTCTATATTAATAAGCTAATATGTAACTGCAAGACTGTTGCGAGAGTCTTGCGCAAGACCAAGACCATGACCAAAACTAAGTTTGCAAGACCAAGACTCGTCTCAGTCTCGCATTTGGGCAACACTAGCATTCATTTATTTTTGTTTTGTTTTTTACTTTTACTTTAACACAGAGCTTATTTTAAAGAATAACTTAACGTATTTTTTATTTATTATTGTCTTAAAAGTGTATATTTATAATGTATTTTTTACCACTGTACATAGTTTTCAGTGTCTTGTCATAGTTTTAGTGTTTTTTATATAGGTTTATTTGTTTTATGTATTGCGTGTTTAACTAATGTTTTCTTTAATTTATCTTTTTATTTTTATTTAGGCCAGATGCAATTTTTAACTTTTGTACTGTTTTGTTATTTTAAAGGGACTTTGTCCCAGATTATTTTATATAAAAAAAAAAAAGTTGCCAGTTACGAAAAGATGAATACATTCAAGATAGATTTAGACAGATGTTAATAATTTGATAAAAACCTCCGACTACTTTCCGTATTTTTAGTTAGTTTCTTTATTTTTCTTTCAAAGTAATTACCTTTATATTAAAAAAAAAAAACGCTTGTAGTACATATTTACGAAAAATTACTGATTATTTCAGTAGGCATTAAAAAGCATCGAGACTTGAATAAGATCCCTTTTCGAAAGAAATACACTTCAAGGCTCGTTTTTAAGGAAAAAAAAGGTTTTGATTTAGAGAGAAAAAATGGTGTATGATTTGGAGAGGAGTTATGAAAATTGTATAAATAACGGAGGAATAAAAATAATTGATTTTTAGTCTTCTTCTAAGCTTATTATAACTTATTTCCCATAACTTTACACATAGAACTCATTGGGTCTTTTACAAAGGAATAGACAAATATCTCGAGTTTTCAAAAAAATTGATAAGTGTTCAATTTGGAAATGAATGATTCGATTATTGAATGTATTTACTTGTATGTAATAAATATTTTTATTGAATTTAATCAGTTTATTTTTTAACGAATAATTAAATAATAAATTATTATTTAACGAAATAACATTGTTGTTATTTATTTGTTATTAGAATAAAATTTATCACTCTTTTACCAAAGCCAAGTTAACAGTTGTTTGGAAGTTAGTTGATTAGCCACAGTAGGTGATCACTTGGTGGACAGAACAGGCACAGCTCTCAACTATCAGGTAGATTGACAAATTTCTTGATCAAACATGCTATTTTTTAAATTATATATATATTTTTTTAAATACACATATATCTTTTTGCCTCTAGGCCCCAAATATAATAATTATAAATATATCCGTGGCGTAGCCAGTTACTCACGAATTCCTTATCAAATAGATTACACCACAAAACTGCGGCAATAGATAGGGGAGTTTCTGTTATTTATAAAAAAAAAAAAAAAAAAAAAAAAAAAAAAAAAAAAAAAAAAAAAAAAAAAAAAAAAAAAAAAAAAAAAAAAAAAATAGGAATTCTGACCGTTGGCAACATCTCGAAATACTTTCCTCTACATAGTAACTATTGTCAGAATTTAGGAATTGAAAAAAAAAAAAACTTGAACCGATACTGAGTAACAACATGACAAGCATAAGAAAAAAACCAAAATATCCTAAAAAAATAAAAGAATATTTTTCACAAAAAAACGAAATAAAACAATAATATAAAAAAAGACGGATACTAATATTCATAAATTATCTAACAGCAAATAAAATAGCATAACCTAATCTCAGTGGAATAATAAGGGAAGAAATGATAAGGGAGACTAGTGTTGCCCAAATATGAGACCGAGACGAGTCTTGGTCTTGCAAACTCAGGCTTGGTCTAGGTCTATGCTTGGTCTTGCGCAAGAGTCTCGCAACAGTCTTGAAGTTACCTATTAGCTTATCACTATAGAGATATTAGTGTAATTTTTTAGATAAGAAGAAACTAACTAAGCTCAAATGAAAAATTAGGAGAGTTAAATGAAAAAGTAAATTAGTTATACCAATTCTTTACATATAGTAACTGAAATTGTCAAGTATTAGTTACTATTTTGCCTTACTTTTTATTCAAAAAATCGATTTTTTTTTAGCATTCTTGGTCATGGTCTTGCAACAGTTAGGCGGTCTTGGTCTTAGTCTTGCAAAGTACAAGACCAAGACAGATTTTGGGCAATACAAAAGGAGACAGGGTAAGGTTGTGACAGTTTTTATTTAATCGTCCTCAATTTAGTTAGTATTACCCAAGAACTGTCGTGACAGTGCTTGGAATTGGCAGTGACAGGTTCAAAAACACATCAAAATAGTCTAAATTCACTTTTATTGTGTTATATAACATTATAGAACAATTTAATCGCTTATAAATAATAAGGCATAAAAATTTGGGTAAGAATCAACTTTCGGTCTTCTTTGAGCGTTATCTGGGTATCTAAAAGCAAAAAAAAATACCTAAAAAATATGTCAAAACTGGTAAGGTTTCAACGCACTTCTCACCCGAAAACGACAATATAAAATTATCTACGTTCGTTAATCGATGATAATTAACAACTAATATTTAACATATAACGAGGAAAACATTTATTACTCTATCTGTACATATATTGGGTTGACAAATAAGTCCTTTTGGTTTTCATGTTTATTTTTATGTCAACATGATACACTCTGATGAATGATCACACGAATTAATCCCTAAGGTGGATTGTTTATCCTGTTCATAATATGTCAACAACTATATCTGTTAACTCTTGTTGAAACTAGAAACTATTGTATTCGCTATTACACTACGAATAAGAAAGAAAATATCATTTATTATCGGCATATTTTGTTGTATTATTTTAAAAAAGAAAAGCGTGCTGCAGAAGCTCATAGAAAAAATTGCATTGTTTATGTGGACGATGCTTTAACCAAAAGCACCTTGAAAGCTAAAAATTGGTTTGCCGAAATTTCATTCAGGAAATTTTGACATCAATGATGCTCAACGGTCTGGTCGCCCACATGAAATTGAAACGAGCAATGTTAAAGCCATTGTTGATAAAAATCCCACCCAATAAGTGCGAGAGATTGCTATGGCCCTAAATGTGTCACATACAAGTGTAGAAAACCATTTGCACAAGCTCGGCTATGTTTCCAGGCTTAATTTTTGGGTCACTTACATGATTTTTTTTCGAAAATCACAAAAAAAATGTTATAACTTAAATATGACTTTAGCTATCTACAAGAAATTT